ACGGTGCTGGGCTGCTTTGGTGTGTTTCCTCTTCCCCCGTGGATGTTAAATGTTATTCTGTTATGGTCACTATTACCAAGCAGTTCAGCTCTATTCACCTCTTGGACCAGATCCTGTGCTCCACTTAGGACTAAATCAAGAATTGCCTCTCCTCTAGTGGGTTCCAGGACCAGCTGCTCCAAGAAGCAGTCATTTAAGGTGTCAAGAAACTTGATCTCTGCATCCTGTCCTGAGGTGAAGTGTACCCAGTCAATATGGGGATAGTTGAAATCCTCCATTACTATTGAGTTTTTTAATTTTATAGCCTCTCTAATCTCCCTGAGAATTTCACAGTCACTATCACCATCCTGGTCAGGTGGTTGGTAGTCTTCCCCTACAGAAAGGCTCCTATGTCATACTGGGCAAGCTGGATTGAAACCTGGGTTGAAGTTGATTTGGAGGTTTGTAATTTTTATTCTTGAAAGTACCCATAAATTGAATTATTCCTTACCAAAGTGGGTTTTTTCCCTTTAAGCATTGGTGATGATAACACCTATTGTACTCATACACTATCACACATCTATCCAGAGTCTCTGGTCTGAGGCAAAATAGTTGATAGGTTTGTGACAAACAGGAACCATAGGATTGCATCATTAAGTTACTGAACTGACAAAAAGATGCTCCTCTCACAGGGGCCTGAGCTAGCTCCCACTGAAGTCAGTGGAAAGACTCGAACCTACTTGAATGGCTATTGGATCAGGCCTTAGAACAGTAAGAGACGGAGACAAAACCCTTTTTAATACAATGTTTAAGAAAGGCTATGTCTGAAGTCCCTCAGCCCCCTCCAGTTTGTGTGTTTGGGGGCCTATTTTCACAGCGAGCTGAATAGCTGTCAGTTTTTTGTTCTCATTTATGCCTCTCCTAGCTGTAGCTTCAGATAGATTTAATAAAAACAAAAGATCTGTTTTTTCTAAAAACTTGAAAAACCGTTGTAGGCGGGTAGAGTCATTTCAAGAGTAAAATGCTACTCAACACTTCGAGTGGTGAAGTTTAATTATGCCGATTCACATTTTCGATCTAAATTAAGAACCTCCTTTGCTAGTAGAAAGAGAACCTAGAAGTTCTGAAGTAGGCAAAACAAAGAACGTTTCCACTCAAACCGAGAATGGAGACCAACATTTACAAGTATATAATTTGATCATCTGTTTTCTAAATGGGTCCAAGACTGTGTGACTTGATTTTTTAAAAAAAGTTTTGCATAAAGAAGGTCTTTGAAAGAAGCCTTAATTCTCAACATTTTAAAGGGGCACTATAAAGTCAAATTTAGCCCAGAATTTAGGTCTCTCACAAAACCTAAAACCTATATAAAATCTTTCCATGACCTTTTTAAGATTCCATTTTTTTTTACTATTTCCTGCCAACCCAAACATTGTAGCACTGTCCTAGTACATTAAAACCAGAAAGTGAAACTGACCATAAACAAATGGGAAAATAAGTATTTAACTGTTTTAAGCAAAGAGAAGTACAAAATGTAAGAGAGTCAGGATAAAGAATGAAAATGAGATTAGATTTTTTTTAAATGTTTTGTTCAAAAGTTAACATAGCACAGGTATGGATTTCTTTTTAACCCAGCCAGTGTCTCTTTAACATTTCTTTCTCTGTTAAAAAGGCTTTTGTTAGGTCTGCAAATTATATCCCCAAACCTTTCAGACAGGTTTGTCAAAATAGGGTGTCACCTTCCTGTGTTTGTCTGATGGGACAAACTTGTCAGGACAGCAGGCTGTTGCATCATCTTATGATGCAATGAAGGACACTGTATCACAGTCATGTCCTGATTCAATGTGATTCTATTTTGGGAGAAGTCAAATAAATAAACACATAAATAAAAAACAACCTCAACAACTCTAAAACTGAGATGCTCCACAGAACATGAGCGACCACAATCAAATTTCCTGAATCTATGCCAGTTATATTAAAGCATGATAGGCTTTAGACTATTAGTGACTGTCAGGATTCATTTGGAATCATTATTTAGTAAGTGCAGTAGGTTTGATGAAATAGTGGAAATTATTTTCTTGGTCCACAGAATGTAGAAATTATGTGTCACCACACCTAAAACATGTATTGCACAATGGTTAATAAAGGCACTATTTGAAGGTGATTTTCTTTGTTATTACTCATATCTTGATTCAAAACAATGTCAACAGATTAAGAAAAAAGGAAGATGGAAATACGTAAATGGTAAGATTATACTTCCTCCCCCTAAGACAAATCAGGGCCCTGATCCTACAAACACCTTGGATCTCCTTGCAAACACTTATGCATATGATCAACTTTACTACAATGAGTAGTCCCACTGTGCATAAATGTTTGCAGAACGGGGGCCTAAGGCTTGATTCAGGAAAGCGCTAAAGCACATAATTAAGCATGTGCTTAAATGCTGTCCTGAATACATACTCCTTCCTGAATTGGAGCCTAAATTAATTAACTTGAGAGGTTATATTTAAAGTTAAAAATATATGTCCACATGGAGGCAAGTGGGTGTGTCTATATGTGTGTGTTCTATGTGGTGGTTCTGATCACTTCCTTCAATTAAGGGCTTCAGTTAAGCTATAGGAAATTCTTTGATTATTTTAACACTGGAGATGCTGAAAGTCTAAAATCTACAGCTTGTGCAGGGTCTGAACAGTCCAGGACAAGTCCTTCTGGATTTTTTCTAGCTTGGAGACTGCCACTGAGGTGTCTCTGGAAGGCTGGAGAAATTGGTGGGTCTCTGCTAATTTTAACTTGCAAGAGCTGACAGCTGAGGAAGGGGAAGAGGAAAGCTAAAGCACCTGTTAGAATTAGTGCTGGTATAGTAGTATCTTGACATTCATCTATCTCTAATATTAAATCTGGAGAAATATCAGTGCTGGAACTAGGGGTGCTGCCACACCCTCTGGTTTGAAGCAGTAATAACAATCCAAATACATGGTTTCTGCCTTCAGCACCCCCACTACAAAAATAGTTCCAGCACCACTGTATCAATCACAATTCAACATTATACCTTCAATGAACAGACCACAAACATCTTATGGTCCAATGGAATTTTTCTAAGAGTTTGTGAGAAAAGTTGTTGAAGCTTCCAATGACAGCTCTATACCTATTGTGAAGGTTTTATTGCCTAACTGTAGGCCTCCATGCCCAAACATACTTGTCACAGGGAAGGGGAAGAGTGTGGACAAGATTTGATTTAACAGGGGAGGGCCAATGCTAACAGTGGAAGGAAGCCAATTAAAAAAACTAAAGGACTTATGCTCAGTTCTCAGTATTGCTAAACTGTAGATGTGCAAGGCAAGGAAAATCTCTAATTTAAATACAATTAATAAAAATGAGAGAGAGTTTATAAGTGTCAAAAATCAGAAGTCTCTATGTCCATCCACATGCCAATATAGGATTGTTCTGTGTAGTCTATTTTCAAGTACACAGAACTGTTAGGAACCAGTACACTTCCTTACACAGCCAGTGCCTTCCAATCCAGGTCTGAAACCTACTTTTACAGAATTGTTTCATAAAGATACAGATGCTGAATGCTTCCAGATACACACAGTGATCTGGTCAATAGTCAGAGCATCTGCCAGCACTTTACAAATATCTTGCTGTATCAGTGGGGAGTACATGTAACATAAAAAGTCAGCAGAGATGGAAAAAAATGGATGCAGAGATAAATTTTGAAATGTGACTAATTATATGTTTGCAAACTACTTGTACAGGTGAACCAATGAACCTCTAATGTTGTTGACATGTCCCACTCATGTCACATGGATAGGCCTGCACAGTTCAGCATAACAGGAGACCAAATTGCATGGTAACTAATGAAATTACATTTAAGATAAGGTTATAGTGAGCAAATTAATGTTGTTTGAGTAAGGAACATAGGAACTTCAGATCCTTAGTACCTAAACAAGCATTTCTAGTGTTTCAAAAGAGTAAACATGCTTTGTAATCACTAAGAGGTTGGGAAGCAACTAATGAAAGTACAAAGGAGGAGAAATGTGTATTGGCAATTTCTGACCAGTCTGTGCTGTATACAAAGATGGGGACTGCATCTTTGTATATCTTGATCCACTCCTAAACTAATACTGACATTTTATAACCCATTCTCCATCACCAGATAGCAGTGAACCCCATTTCATAAAAACAAAAACTATAATGCATTAATTTTAATAACTCCTACATAGACATAGGCATATTATATAGGTTAACAGAAAATTAAATCTACTAAGGGTCTGATTAAAGCCATTTGGAATCTTTCTGCTGCTTTTAGTTAACTCTGGATGAGATCCTAGTAGTGTATCAAATCTAAGGGTAAAAGACTAAAATTGGAGACGGTCAGAACACACAGCTTTAAAAAAAAAAAGGGAATGCATCTTCACACCATTAGCAATTTTGACACAAGGAAAGAAATTAAAAAAAAAAAAATCTTTCTAGCATTAAGTGTTAAGCAACTACACTATAACCGATTTGAGACAGAATTGAGTTTTGTTATAATCAGAAATGAAGTTTGTTTTTTCTAACCTTTATGTCTATCAGTTCAACATACAGTTTGGAAGATATGCACATGGCCTGGGTCCAGTTCCTTGCACAGTAAGGACAGCCCATTTGGAACCCAAATATACATCCCTTTGTGTACATTTTCACAGCAGAATTTTTTTAAATAGACCCATGAAACCTGGAATCTCTAAAGTCTCAGCATGTAGCAATGTCAATTATTTTTAAGAGAGGGGAGGAGGACAGGAATTGTCTATGTAGGATTTCATCAGATAATTCTCAGATTATAAACCAATAACTTGAAATTTTTAATAATCTGTTTGTATTTAAACAGCACAAGAAACTCTGTTTTTAAATTCCTTCTGTCTACTCCAAACCACCTACTGTGACACAACAGATGATTCAGCTATATAATTATACAACATATTATTAGATCACATAGGCAGAAGAGACATTACTAGCATTCTTTGTTTATACTGTAATCCACTTACTGAGATTCATCATCAGCTCTCTGGAGGAAGGATAGTGCAGTCTCTCTGCAAAGTCCGGACAATACCACACAAGTAGTTCTTGGTTGGCAGGGATGGGCTTGATAGTGTAGAAATAGATGTTCATTCCATTCTGACAAGCTGCCAAATTCTGTTCCTGAACAGAATGGGCTGGGTTCACATAGCGCATCCAATTGCTCTTGTCCTCATTAAATCCGTCAATGAAGTGGTGAAGTTCACCACTGGAATAGATCTAGATAAGAGTAGAATATTATGAATATATATCTATAGTGTATACACATACACAGAGTACATATGGTAAATAAGAGGTTTTAAAAAAAAAAAAAAGACATGACCGACCAAATAAACAACAAAATAAAGAGAGAAATGGGTGTTCCCTTTCCAAGTAAGACATTCTCGGCATTAAGAGTAATAAATCTCACTTTAGATTAGGTACGCTCTCCCAGTTACCTTTTCCATTTATGTTTAGTCAATGTGTTGCTCTATTAATGTGCACACATGAAAGCCACAGAACATGAAGAGTTGTCTGAAGTAAGTCTACCTTAGAGATCTTTTTCTGCTGCTATGATCCAACAAGTGTGTGATACTGTTGACTTCAGGTTTGACTGTGTGCTTGCATTAATGCTTTGAGTCACCTGTGTATAAGACTGACTAGCTAGGCTACGTCAAACACAGTCTCTTTCTCCGTTTTTTTCTATGGCCTCTGTACTTGCAGTTTCCTACCACCTCCGCCCAAAGGTTTAAACTATGCAAACATCCTCCCCCCTCACCCCCCCGCAACAGTCCTAAAGTAACACTTGCTCACACTTGGAATGTAGCCCTTTTCTGGAAAAGCTGGGTGGGGCTAAGGTGAACTTCACCTGCTATAACTGAAGACCTGGCAAGAGGCCAGCATTTGTCAGTCTATGAAAATCACTTTTCCTCTCAATAGACATGTTTAGACATGTACTTTTTAAAAAATTACACATAAAATTGCTTGGCAACATGCACAAGAAAAAGACCCAATTCAATGAGTGAAAATGCCATTTGTCAAAGTTATGAGAATATGAAAATTAAGTGAAAATCTAATGAACTCAACAAATATGTCCTTTAGAATTAAGATCGCTTATTTGTGGAAATAATTAGTTCAGTCACTTCTTGATGAAATAAGCCATTTAAGAACGCCTGAGTTTCACAATAAGTTATCGGGTAAAAGTTAGTCTTAGACTGTGAGCCATTTGGATTTTAGATTGGAATCTCTTTGAGGCAGGAACTCTCTCTTTCTAAAGAACAGACCTAATATATTTGATCTCATCTCATGCTCATACTACTTTCTTTTTCATTTGAACAGTAACTGCAAGAGTCAACTGAGAAAAAAAAGAAAAAAAGGAAAAAGACAGGCTGGCCCTTTAATGCAGGCAGTAAACACCAGAATCACTTTCTTTTAAGAGTAACTTCCTGTAAAATGAGAAGGGGGAAATACATGTGGCTTCATCAAAGAAGCTAGTGAGAGATTTTGCGGTGTGTTTGTTATGAGAAAATGGAACAGAGCCGGGTGAATTCTGCTATCAAGAGGAGTTTTCAAGTTTCTTTGTTTACTCCGATTTGCAAACTTCCAGGAACTTGGGGTTCCATTGCTGTGCACTTCTACTAGAGACGGAAGCTGCTTTCTAAAGCTACACTGAAGGTCTTCCAGTTACCCGTCCATAGATAGTACAATTTACTGTACTTCTTTTAAAAAAAGAAATATCAGTATCGTGAGGTCACATACACACCCCCACAAAACCTTATTCTGCCATCTCACCAGATTTCCATATATTATCAAGAAGATTAAAAATGTGCTGACTCATAGTACAGTTACAAGAAATGATGTCACTCTGAGGTTTGCACAGCCCTCACGTCCCCCTTCTCCTATCTGTGTGTGTAATTTGCATGGAACATTTATGTTCACACAGAGCAGATGTTCCTGTTCCTGCCAGCAAAATCAGGATGCCTTTTATAGCATGTGGGAAGTTATCTCCCACAGCTTCCTTTGCATGTGCAAGACTGTTTCAGTCCCTGAGGAAGGAATTCATTTGAGTTACGGCAGTGTGTCTGTACTGAATCAAGAGATTATAATAGTAAGTGTAATGACCCTTAGAAGACTCCTATATTATTTCCAAGAAGCTTTACATTAAAGCAAAGTAACATCACAAAAATGAGGTCATCTTTCTTACAGCAATATGACTAAAATCCTGGAAAATAGTTAAAAACCTTTCTGAATATTTGCTGAATTATTCCCCACGGGTAATGTTACACGAGTTATTATTCCTTTCTCCTGGTGTTGGACTTAGATGCCTTTGTGGGGCTAAGTCCAACACTTAGATCCTCAAATCATCCAGTCAGCTACCATGTAAACCTATAGGCACCCAAATTCCTTATGTGCTTGACTTTCTGCTGGCAATGTCTGATGGCACCTAAGTTCCTGCTGCTGGGCATGTGTAAAATTGCTTGAAGACAGATACTGCTGAGCTGCTTGGCACCCTACCTCATGCCTAAGTCAAAAACCAGGCACTTCCCCATCTGTGGGGCCAGATAGGCATTTTCAGACCAGACCTACTGGGCAGGGCCTTGCACTAAAGACAGTCAGCAGTGACCCAGATGGGGAATTTTTCTGGCTGGCTGGAGTGCGGGTGTCCTAGAATGCCCAATAGTTTGGTGGTTAGAGTACTTACCCAGGATGTCGGAGACCTGTTTTCAAATTCTCATGCTGCTCAATTTGAGCAGAGACTTGACTCCAGGTCTCCCATATTCCAGGTGTGTACCCTGACCACCAGACTGTTGGCTCTTCTGGAGTAAGGGGTGCTCAATCTCTCTCCTCTTGGAGCTGTTCCACTTGGTATAAAATAATTAAATATTCAGTTCAGAAAGAGAGCAAATTTAGTCCATAGGCCGGTGTTCAAGTTCAAATCCCTGCTCCAAACCAGGCACAGCAGGTATCTGCAGACAGGTCTCCCATGGCCCAGGTGAGTGCTCTAACCACTGGACTATTGGCTATAATGGGATAGGGTGGGTTACTGTCTCCATCTCTATTTTTTTCGTGAGAAAGGTCTTACCTGGCTTAGGTGCCCAACTCCAGAAGAAGCCTGAGTGGAGATAGACACCTAAAATACCTTCCCTCTCCTCAGCATTTCCTATGGGCGAGTTTAGGCAACTCCTCATTCAACTTGTTTGTATCTGTGAAACCATTGTTTTAGCACCTAACTCTTCCCATGGATTGCACAAGGAGCCTGGCCACCTAATTCAGGGTTGAGAGGATTCCACTGGGCAGCAGGGCATCTAAAAGTTAGCTGTTGCAACACTTAGCGTTGCCACACCTAAGTCCCTTCCCGGACCTAGACTCTGGAAATTAAGTACAAGATCTTGGTCTCACAAGTGTAAAAACACTCCTGCACCTTGTGTGAATGTTCATGTTAATTATTATCCATGTGCCAATGAGTAAAATTCTGCGGGAGAAAGCATAAGAAAACCCAAATAGGGTAATTACTTAACTTAATTTTTCCTAAGAGGCCTCAAAAAGAGCTATAGAAAAGATCACTAAGGCTATGTCTACACTTACGGCAGCATGTGGAGTATGTACCATGCATGCCCCCCAGTACAGGTATAAACAGCAATGTAATTGACAAGGCACTGCTTAGACGAGTAAAGACATACCAGAACATTAGGGTATGTACCGTACATGGCTCCCTACGTGCCCAAGTCGTGCCTCCCATGTCTACACTGCCTTCTCCCAGCCAGAGTTGTACACTGTCACATGTATTACAACACCACAGTGTGGAAATAGCCCATTTTCTACTGAAGTGTGTAGCTACACATACCATATACACCACTGCCAGTGTAGACAAGGCCTAAAAGTAAAGTTATGCTTTTATGCACACATAGTGTAGCAGTAGTCTTTCTATATAAAGAATGCATGCAAGTGCCAGGACAATTAGAGCAAACCTGGGGCCTACTATGAAGCCATTTGATTAAGCTCCCAGTGGCAAGGCTCAGATACAGAGTACAAAAACTCTTCCCACTCACCCACATTTGCATCAAAACCTGTGACAGACAGGCTTAGTGATCTGAGGGGCAACAAGTTCAGTTCCATGGAAGGGGATGGAGCAGAATGGATGATGTATACAGAATTGGTAATGTGTTTGTGGAGGAAGTTGGGGGGGATTAGTTCACTGAGGTTTCCCAATTAACAGAAGAAGGAAGGAAGGGATGAATGAAAGGGATGGCGGGAGATAAATGGAGGGGGGAAGGGAAGGAGACTATCCTTACTCCCCCAGGGTGCCTAAGTTATCAACACAGAGTGCTCAGTTAGCACACACAGACTCCTACTCCATACCAAGCTGCACTACCTTATGAGCAGTAAACATCACATTAACATTTCTGCCTGCCATTAGTGGGGTACATGGACATGATGAGGCAGCGACTTTTGCAACATTTTTTCAACTGGCCCTAGAAATGTCTGTTAATTTAAAATACACATATTGAAGAGATAAACACTGTTTTACAATAGTTGAATTTGAAACATGCTTAAAAAGTTATTCAGATTTTAATAATTCCAGCATAAAAGAATATATAATTATATAATACATCCCACTCACTCTCAAGTATGTATTAGCTAGAAATCAAGAATACATGACATTCTTCGTCTTAAAGAATGACTTATTACTATTTCCTTGTGTAGAAATGCAAATCAACCTACCCCGGCAGCAAGCTGCAGAGCTATTTCTTTATATGATCAAGCACTGATGTGTTGCAGAAGACCGAGCCAAGAGCTGTTGTGCATTTCCCTCACTCTCCACCCACACTGTCCCCATTTCCAAGAGGGCCAGAGGTTTACTCAGCTTAGTTCACCACTGTTCACTCAGAATTCTGTTCATATATGGCAGAGTGAAGAAGTTGCCCCCTGCACTCACACAGGTCTGAAACAGGAAGTGACCCAGCTTTTCAGCTGTACTCATTTAGTGATCTGATTACTGCATCAACATGGAGCTGTTTTTTTCCTGCTTACCCGCCAAAAGTATTTTCTGTTTGCATTCTTGGGAACTGTATCGTTGGTATAGATCTCTCCTACCAGGGGTCCAAAACGTGTTCCTTTCGGGATGTACTCTTTACTTACAACTCCAGTAACCTGCAAGCAGAAGAGCAAATAATCAGCCCATCTTCAATAGAAAACAAAAGTCACTCCTATTCTTACTAAAAACCCCAAGCCCAATATATTTTTGATGCGAGGTCAGCAAAGCAGAAATAAACTAACAGCTACATTGACATCTGATATGAAAAACTCTGTCAACTTACAGTTTCTTGCTGAAAAATATGGAGGCCAGTAGTGAATAGAGCTTCAGGTGCATAAATAATGAAAAACTGCCTTATGGAAATTTGTTTGAATTTGTAAGCAGAAAAGAATCACTGAAAGCAATTTCTTCTCTTAAAACAAGAGGTCAAGTGTTTCAGAGTTAAGAAAAATCAGCAAGTTAAAGAATTCTAACCTACTGATACTAATACCACTTCCAACCACTTACAGAGAAGCTTTTCTTATCAAAGGTGAATGTCAAAATTCTAGTCTCAGAAACCAATAATATTCAATAGTAAGCACTTCAATGTGCTGAAGCCACCTCTTTCTTGTAGTTTTCTAGTAAAATAGGTTCAGTGCAGTCTCTATTTCTAGATAAAAATGAACCCCTTTTATTGCTCTGGTACCTTGCTGAACGGCTGAAGAAAAGAAAAGAAAAAAAAAAAAAACATCCAAAACCTACAACTCTTCCATTACCATACAATGAAAATCAACAATCAATATGAACTGACTTTGGGAAAGTGTACTCACAGATTACTGTCTTTAAGAGAGAGAGAGGTTCCTGTAATATGTGTTACGTGGGTCTGGTCAAGGAAGTGTAGGTTTTTGGTGAAAATGCTCTGCTGTACCAAGTTTAAGATACATATACTAGCTGTTCAGCTTCCTCCTTGACAGTAATTATACTAAAAAAGTCACTGACCACAAATCAGGAAGCAATTCATCATTATTCAGAAGAACGTGCCTTTGAGTAACCCTTTACAACACACTGCTGAGTTCTTGTTTTTGTCCTTCCCTGTTCTCCACCAGTCCTCTGAATTTTTGTACATTTAAACAATGTGTTATAAGCAGAATAATTTTGTAAACCAAAAATCAGGACTTTACAAGACTGCTTAAAAAGCAGGGAAGGGAAATAAACAGGCTGTTGGTTTGCTAACCTTACTGAACTTTCATAGTAAAGCCAATTAAACATATTCCTCTCATGCACCTTACTAGGTAATAATTCTCATTATGCCAGCTAAACTCATGAAACCATAGAACTACAGCAGAGCCTTGCTGATTGGCACTAATTGGAAGCCCATTTCTGATCCCTGAATTCTGCAAATTCACAAATAAACAAACACAGCCAAAGAAATTAAGGATTATCACAATTATGTACTTTGTTCATATGAGTAAGCATTTATGTTTACTTGAAGTACTTCATAGTGCTCTAACAAATATTCTGCATTGTACATGGTATTTTGTAAAAGTAACTATGGCTTGTAACATGAAACCCAACCACAGTTTCTGCTGTTAAATCTTTGCTGAAAAATGGGGCTATGCTTGTTTTTTGTGTGTGTGTGTGAGAGAGAGAGAGAACGAGCATTATTGGTTTGTGTATTAAGGGAAATGAGAATTAGTAAAGTTCTATTGTACATTGTCTATGGATAAATATTCCAAAGACAGCTCATTTGACTTCTTGATTGGAAATGCAGACAAATAATTAACTCTTAGCAAAGTTTTATGTGAAATGGGAAACAGAAATGAACAAGAAATACTGAGGAATTAAGCATATAGTCCATTGGGAAGAGGATTGATGATTATGTGGTAGATGATAATGCTGTCTTGCAAGTGTTTTGCATGTTTTTTAGTGTGCGCGTGCACACACACACACAGATTTGTGCATCTGGACTGGAGAGAGAGAGAGAGAGAAAGGGACTTCCAGAAATTTTCCTACACCTACCACAAGTTGAAACATGTTCAGTGGCCCAGTTTTATTTTTATCCTTGTACATTTCTCGTAGAGAGCTGAAAAAGGCAGATGTTCTTTCTCATCTTCCCCATCTACCTTCATTTACATCCATCTGCCCTTTCTAGAAAAGTTCATAGCTGTGTAACTGTAAAGTATATTTTAGCTCTTTCACAGTTTTAAAATGTCTTGGTCTTAATTAAAATATCTAATGAAATTCTCAGAATGTCTAGAAATCACTACTGCTTGAACTAGTCAACTTGAAACATTTACTATATTGGCTTCTCTGACACAGCAGATCCTTTTTTTTAATATGTACTATACACAACATTTGATTCTTTCCCAATATATAAAGCATTAATATGGTTTATCATCCAACAATTAATGGAAGATATTTTAGCATCATATATTTTAGAAGTGTGTGTGCGCGTGTCTGAACACACTTTTTTGTTTTTTAACTATCTACTTTTTGCCACCTATGGTTTCTGATCAGAGTGTATAGTATAAATTATGTCTCTAAAGTAGCATTATACTCAAAATCACAAGCCAGCAGAGGAACATTGATGACACTAAGACAACTCTGGGTTCTAGATCTCATACCAGACAGGAGGCTGGTCCAGTGCCATAATCAAGATCAAAGAGACTCTTGCCATGCCATAGTGGAGTGGGATTTAGTTACTGTACTTTGTTGTTTGTTGGTAATCAAGGTTACCAAGGACTGTAAACAAATCAGAAAAAAATGCTACAGATCAAAAGCAGAAAGGAAGTTGGGCCTTAGTTGCCAAAAGCAGACACAGAGCAAACATTTCAAACTTCTGTCCACAAGGTGTCCTTCAGCACACTCCTTGTGAACTGTGAGGATACTGTCTGAAGCTACCACACCTTGTGGATGAACATGAGTCTGATAATGAGCTCTCCTCTCACAAGTAAGCTACAACTAAAAATGTTGAGGATTTTTAAAAATCTTTGGATCTAAAATTTAAAACTTTGCGACAAAACAAAAATCTGCTTTCAAAATGTTTTTTGAAATATGTTTCTCTCTTTTAAAGCTATAGACACTTCAAATCTCTTAATACTGCCACAAACACTTATCATTAATTCCATTATCATCAGAAAAACAATATTTCTACAACAAAAACCAGTTTCTCATGTTAGACTTGTGATTTGAAATATCTTCTATGAGATGTATATAAGCCATGCTCCTTCAGTACTAAAGTGAGTTAAGACACTTTCACCCCACTTAGTGTGTGATAGGATGAACACAATGCTTGCGTGCTAAGCTAACCAGGTGCCAGCATTTAGAAGAGCAGACAGCTGCCTCCTTGCAAACAACAAGCTGCAGAATCTTCAATGGTCCTGTCCGATACTGTCTGCAAGGAAAGCACTGCTGTGTTTTGATTGGTGTATTATATGTAGATGTTAAAGAATTGCTTTTTATACTCTGCTGGAACTCAAGTTTGTTCAAAAGGCCATTTAAATGACAATGTTCACCTAACCCAGGAAGGAAACACCATTGGAACTGACCAGGGTCCTAATGAATTACTGCTGGGGCAGGCTGCTGTATGCCTTCTATAAACACATCCGTGAGAAGTTGAAAAGCTTCAACACTTTCATGCTTCATCTACCCCCACAGAAGCCATTCCACTAGATACTTTATGGGCAGCACCGACCTCCCTGCCATTTCAGCATATCCATCTTTGTCAATGGACTGGGTCACAGAGCACATCCTGACAAGTCATGGCTCCCAGACAAAAAACAGTATTCCTTAGATTCTCATTTTGATATTTAAAAAAAAATTGAGGAGCATTTACACTCCTTTGTTCGGGGTGGGGGCAGTGAGGTAACCAATAACACATTAGTTGTGAGAAAAGGGGATGCCCTTAAATAAATCTAATAAATTGGATGTTTTTTTCACCCCTGGTTCAATCTATTACAGCATATTTTCATAATAATTGTAAATGTAAATCTGGAATGGTGGTTCAGTTAGCATTTTGTTTTGAAACATACAAACACTTATTAAATTGACTGGAAGAAAACTGCAACTGAACCAAGACCTGCAGCTTGCGATTTATTTTTTAAAAGTGGTAAAGTGAGAGGAAATGCTTTGTGATTATATCCTCCTTAATTATCTAAGATAGAAATAAAACACAGCTTCAGTGAATTATCTGTAAAAGGGCAAGTGCATGAGGTTAGCGAGGTGTATATTTAAAGCAGTTTATAATAGACTTGGTCAAAACAGCTCGGAATCCAGTACTAATCCCTTTGAGGAGTAGCCTTATTATAGAAAGTACTGCATTAAGGATCTTATGCCACAGGTAATGGATTCTGTGAACTCCTCATAATTTATCCTTTTCCAGATTCAGTAAAAACAACAGGATAAATTGTGTGTTGATGGTCCCAAACTTCTAACTGATATTTATACTAAGAAGTGCGGGGGTGGGGGAGAGTGTGTTAAGAAGATTGAGGCAGAAGGAAATTTCTTGAAAAACTGTTTTAAAATTGTTATCTTAAAAAGATTAGTCACGTGTAATATTGGAAAATAGATCATTTTATTCTTCATACGTTTTTCATTAATTGCTAATGTGGAGAAAAGAGCTAGCTGCCACATAAAAATATACAGCTGTCTTCATGTAAATCTAACAACTCCAAATGTTAAGAGCAGAAGCAATTCATTTTAAAAAGATACTGATGTATATCGTGAGTTCATAGTGAAAAATGTGTCCTTCAAAAAATACCCTGGGGAAGGTCCAAGAATAAACAAAAGTATGATGTGTCATGGAATCTCTTGCCATTTCAATAACAGTCTTTAAGGAGGAATTACTGAATTAGCAGAGCTACGAAATGCATGAAAAGGAAAAATAACCCACAAAAAACAACACCCCCCCCCAATAAACCAACCAACCAACCCACCCACCCAAGTCTGCACATACAACACTGTAGTATTCCTAGTCCCTTAGGACATAGGTTACAAAATACAGATCTAACCACGAAAGCTTTAATATTTCATAAACCATGTACTGTATGTTTTTGTCAATAAATTTGCTCAGTGCTCACATCTTTCCTCAAGATAAAGGAGCAATCATTTCCCAAAGTTAACAGTGAAGACAACTCAGTCGCAAAATCCGTAGGTCCATGTTCACATGCACATGCACACACACACAGAGCCCAATTCTTACCTCCACCCTTTGCAAATCCGAAATAACTATTAGTGTTACCCCAGGTGCCACATCAGTGTAAGATCAGAATCAAGCTCCCTTTATCTTCCCTTCTCCCTCCCCCTATAACGGTCCGATCCTTCAAACACTTATGCACAAAAAACCAGGTTACTAAAATTGAGGGCAGAAGAGCAAATCAAAACCTTAAAGTCAGTCGGAAAAAGAAATGTTTAGAGCCAAATTAATAAAGGTACTGTGATGAAAGTGACCGATGCGATCTGCAACTATTTCACTATGTTGACAAGTGACTAGTCAAACCTATAAATGAAGTACTATAGCTTTAATAGATGGGGATAATCAGATTGGCTCTTTCATTCAGAGCTGCGGAATAAAAATCAGAGGAATCAAAAGTTCCTTTTGTTTCTTACTCTATGTGCTGCTCAGCACAAGCCAAGTACAATGGGGAACTTTGGTAAACAAAAAAAGGATGTTCTGTATTCAGACCCCCCTCTAGTAAAATAATCCCAATTGGACTTATTTTATAAGAAAGAATTGGAAAAACTTTTCAACAAATTAAAAAAAATTACAACTCAGAACGATCCCAAACTGCATATTCATGTCAGCAACCCAGAATGAATATGGAAATGTGTTAATCACAGAGTTACAGCTTCATCTCCCAAACCACAAAAATATTTAAACTAAAAAAAAAAAACCACAAACAAAAATTTTTGTTTTTTGCTTTTCTGGTTTTTTAAAGCTTCCTTTTCCCCTTCAGATTTCTAGAGGATAACCTTTCTCCCCCCACCTTGATGTTTAGCCTTAACCTGTTGCCAAACCACTATGCATTCTAGCCTGCCTTGTAGGGCCGAATTCTGCTGCATCGGTTTATTTCAGTTGAGGATCTGGCCCTATTTCTATACACAGGATTAAACAAGTGAATGCATCTTCACGGTACTTGTTTTGGGAGGACACGTTTGATAGTTAGACAACAATGAATTTACATCCCTTTTTAGCTCTGTGGTCAGTATATTTAGCCATAGTAGTAACACAGGTAATAGCTGCTCCACCACAAATCGCAGGACAAGGAGAAATTAAGGGTTGTCCCTAGGATTATTACCCTGTTGAACATCACACCTAGCTATAATAGCTAGTGTATATGGAGTAAACACACGACCAATTGCTCATCCAGGCTCATTTTTTTCCAGCCCGTCTGAAACAACAACAACAAAGAATGTACCCACTCCAGAGATAAGGATACTTACATGTCTAGCTACAAGTAAAGGTATTGCCCCAGATAAACAATAGTTAATTTAAGGCATGCAGACATAGGATAGTATTATGTGAATCTTGCAATAGTTTTATCATCACTTCATTAATAGGTAGGCCAGAGTTTTGAGAATTTAGGAAGTTGCAAATAAAGCAAGTTCATTAAAAGAATAAAGTATCAGAAGGGGAGCCGTGTTAGTCTGGATCTGTAAAAAACAACAAAGAGTCCTGTGGCTACTAGTCTATAAGGTGCCACTGGACTATGTGTCGCTTTTTAAAAGAATAAAGCAATTTCATAAAAGAAGACAAAAATGATTAAACACATTTCCAGGAATTATATTTTTTTCCTTTTCAAAGCTATTGTACAACTGAGGCACTTTAGTCTCTAGGTCAGAGGCAATGGATGGACTGGCCAACAGCAGTCTAGAAACTGGCACACAGGACGACCCACACTTTAAACATGCTTATGCAGTTGCCTGAAGATTTAACTGTTTGCTAATTGGTACAGAACCAATTTTAGGATGTGTGACTTAGCCATGGAAGTGATGGATTATTTGTTTACAGTTCCTTAAAGAATTTTAAGAATTTGTCTAAAATGCCAGTGGCATTTTTTTAAGGTGGTTAGAGTGTGGAAGCATAATGAACCGGTCACTTTCCAAAGCACTGTGATTTGGCTGTCGGGCTCCAACCTTCCCCAGTAGATGGCTGCTTACCTCTTTGCAGTTCGATGTATATTTGAAAGTCAAGTTCCTTGGCAAGGACGCCTCTGCCTGAGTTATGGTGCTTCCATCATCGCTGGGATCCCAGGGGTGATCATTTACAATGTATGTACACTTCTCTTCAAAATCAGCCTCTGTCCACAGAGTCATGTCAGCATCCTCCATGTCCATTTTCATTGCCCACTCTGTCCCTTTCACCAGCGTTTGGGAACTCACAACGTCCAAGCTACACTGTGCGGCAGCCTGGAAAAGAAGAAAAAAATCTTTTAATCCTCATTGTCCTTCAGTTTCTGTGGTTTCCTTTGAGACAGTGTGACTAATACAGCAGTCTGTGGCACTTTAAAAGTGTATGCAGTACAGTTGGTACAGTTGAGTAATAGACCAAAAAAAAAAAAAAAAAGGCAGCATAAAACTATGTTGCCTTTACTGAAGCAATGTCTTAAAATGCCAGCCTTGGTGGTAATAATAATAATAGTAATAATAATTAATAATAATAATAATAATAAGGGAACCAAAAGAATGGGGGGAAATCCCTAAGATCGGCATCTGCATTACCTTTCTCAGATCCTTTTCTTAAACACCTCACAGCAGAAATTCTGCAAGGCCAATACTGTGCCCAAGAATATCTGGGGTCATGGCCGCGAGACCACTCAGTGCCTGTGGAAAAGCTGCCTCAGAAAAAGTGTCACAAACAAGGAGAGGAAGAGGAAGGAGCTGCTGTCTGCGTCTGAGCGAAGCTAAAAATGGAAAGCGCATGTTGGAAGAGCGGAACCCAGCCTAGCCTTTTCCAAATGGAGAAGCCTGAACTTTCCCACCGGCTTCCAACACACAAACAACTCTCAAAACAACCTGGCTCCCTTCTGACGTCCTCTTATCCTTTGGCATGGAAGGTTGAAAAAGCAGACATCCTGCCAACAGTGTTGCAGCAACAGCTTTTCACAACTCACTGGAACACATTCACTTGGACCAAAACAAAACAAAAAAATCCTTATGTTTCTTTGTCTTGATGACATCTCACAGAATTATATGCTTAAGGCACTAGATAGAATCCTTGTGAGAAAATTCCATCTAGTCCTTGACTGCCTATTTTTATTTAGGACAGACAATATCAAATTCTCAGATAGGTATTACAACATCATCTTTCTGCAAGATAAGTAGAACTAAAGAATGCAGTCGCTGTTTAAACTGGTAGTTGTAAATGGTTTTCAAATCCAGGATCAAAAACTTATTTTTCCTTTAAAAATATTCAACCATTATGGAATGTCCTCCCTTCACTCCTCTACCTCCCTCCCCCAACCCAAAAAAGATTACAAGATAAAATGAAACATTCTGGGAGGAAAGGACAGAGAACTTATCCCTGTCAATCTCTGACTCCTAGTTAAAATAAAACATCCAGTAACCATACCAAGACTTTCTTTCTGGATAATGTAGATTCATTTCAAAAAATGTTCTTTACAAAGTTTACCCCATTTATGCTGCATCACAACATTTAATTTTTGACATATTTTTACAATAATGCCTCCCACTAGCTTTATAGAGTGCAAGAAACTGGTTCTTTAAGTTTTGGTCTAATTTATAGCCAAATCAAATCATCAGCTAAATATTTACTGACTGTGAATATCAAGATGAAAATAAAGACTAATATCGAAACTCCAGTGAACTGACAGTTACATCTAGAAGTGAAAGGGTTAATATCTAGGTCTTCCAAATCAGCGCTGAAAAGGTTAACAAGATATGCTTGCTATTTATTCTAAGTGTTTAGATTAATATATTAACACAGCATTAAAAGGTCAATAATAGATCCAAGGGGGAAAAAGGAATCAAGTTCCTTACCAAGGTAGAGTCCACAAATGTTTCCAAACAGAAGCTCCACGTTTAAGATAAGTCTCGCTCATATCTACCGAGTAAACATTTCTTCTTCCTTCCACTGGGTATGTTAGAGTAAGACTGACTCACACCTAGAGAGTTAACTCCTTTTGCTTGTGCCTCTCTCTCTCTTTTTCTGTCAGACAGGTGCTGCTGCACTTACTGCTTTTGCCTCTCACTGGAGGGCTGAGTGTTACAATACTTTCAGTCTCTGTGTTAACTAGGCAGCCTCCCTGTTTCAGATTTCCTATTAGCCACTCATTTGATTTACTCACAGTCAGGGCTGCCAAAAGCAGGGGGTGGGGCTATACCTGTAACTCATACGGAGATTAGCCAAGGGGAATTTTTTTCTTTCTGACAACATTTCACAGAGTTTTTCCTCTTACTGCATATGGATATTAGCATTCCCTTGGAGTCAGCCTTACTTCCACATGAAACACACATATGACTTTAGTATTATTATGGCTCTCTCATCGAGTTTCTACTAGAAATTTACCCCACTATTTTGAACTGTGAGGTCTGAAGGACACAGCTAATTTTCCCATCTAGATTAATTAAAAAAGAGATGCTATTAAACTAGCAATTAAAAAGTCCTTTCCAGGTTAGAGAATATAAAAATATCATTTAAAGCTTCCAACAAATAAATCTAAACAACTGTGGTATTTTATCTGATACAATTCAGGAGTCTCATGATTTAAATTATTTCTTACAAAACATGAGGGCTACAAGTAGGGTGACCAGATGTCCCAATTTTATAGGGACAGTCCCAATTTTTGGGTCTTTTTCTTATATAACCTCCTATTACCCCCCACCCCCGTCCCCATTTTTCACACTTGCTGTCTGGTCACCCTAGCTACAAGTTAATTTATGTTTAAATCTCTTTACATGGATATTTAGTAAGGAAGTTAGGAAAAATACATCAATTAAAAAAAAAAGATAGCTGCTTCCTCCATTCTAAGTAATAACTGGGGAAGCTTATTAAATAACTACAAAACAAAACATAGTAAAAAAAAATTCATGCACCAAATTTTAAGTACAATATGTAAAAAAATGCAGACAGTATTCAAGTGGAGTGTGCTGCTAGTGGAAGAAGGATTGGTATAGTAATTAGTGGGCCCTGAGCCCTTGTCAATTTTTTCCTTCTCTCCAAGTCAGTGTGTGACTGAAGGAAGGACATCCTGTGATGATGGCATACAATGTCCTGTTTGTTTATTATTAAGAGCATTCCTGCTTCTCATTACAAAACAACCAGATGCCTTACTTCCTTCAAGTGGTCCTGTCTCTTCAGTGAGGAATCCTCCAGATTGGAGAAACAATGATGCACAATTCCATTTATAGTCAGCCACCCTATTACAAACACCAGTTGGCTCACTGAAGGGCAAGTCTCCTACTTTTCCTTCTTGCCTCACATCTGCAGACATATTTATAAATTTCTTTCCTCTTACTAAGGATGCAGCATGTTTTACACTTCCCCCTCCCCCCATAAACACATATTTATATGTTTAGGCCTGTGCGGATGTTTCATATTTCTTTTCAGAAAAATACTATTTTGTGAAATCTCAAGTGTGTACACACCTCCCTCTAACTGTCTCCCCACCCCTCAGTTCTGCTGATAAAAAGAAGGGTGGAAAGGATTATTTGCCTCTCTAGGTTTTGCAATGCTGAGAATAGTATATCTGTGTAAAGACCTTCCGCATGTTTTAATGCAGAAGGGCTCATGCCACTGAATTTACGTAAGTAGGGCAACTGCTGTGAGCGAGTGTCCTGGCTTAACTACTACCAGTGTGTAATTCCACAAGAGAAGTGGCAAGGGCACTGGTGCTGATGGGTATAAATGTAATTGGATATATAGGGTATAACCAAGGCACATTCAAAATGAGGTCTAGGAAAGCTCTGAAATAGGAAGAGGAGAAATCCGGCCTACTTGATTGAGTTAATTAACTGATGCTGAGTCACACCACATAGAGCAGAAAAACAATGTAGTCATACTGAAGTGGTTCTTTGCACACGCGCACACACACACACACACAAAATAGTCTCACTCTGAGATGCAGATGTTTCAGTGTTTTCACTTCCTTATCAGCATAAAAAAAACCCCTGTGTGTTCCAAGGTAACCCACACACAATTCAAGGGCTGATCAACTTAAAATTAAAGAAAACCGGGGACAGGTAAGTCTGCCTCAAGGAAATGAGGCTACTTTTTCAGTGAGGAAGAGGAAGGAGAGAGATTGAATCAAACCAAATATGTATTTGGATGACAGGAGGATGCCACCAATCCAAATCAGTTTTAATCCACCTTCAGAGATGATGGAGCAGGCTGGAATTTATGGAGCGTACGCACTTCAAATAGTTTTGTGGCACTGAGCAAAGCAACCCTGAAATTAGCTCCAGGTGTTTTAGCAGAGCTAAGAAAGGCTTGAGAGCAGAACTACAGTAGTTTAGGAGATGGGATTTCACTTTCATGTAGGTCTTGTTCTAATGATCGGGAATAAAACTAAATAAGCTTCTCATGTTAAGGAAAGCAGAGATGGACATAAAGACGAACAGTAAAGATTCTGTATTAAAGTAGCAAGCATGAGGAAACTTTATCATGAAAAAAAAATAGACACTGACCTTCTGACCTTCCTCCCTACAGAGAGGCATAAAAAGACATCTTACTCGACTGGCAGTTTGCTGCTTTTGTATAGAAATCGTTCATAGCAGTAGCTGCTGCTATTGTCTGGAATTTGCAATCTCAAAATGTTCATTTCAAAAAGAACATTTTTAGTCATATTTTCATTTTTTCCCCTCTCGCTCATAGAAAACCTCAATTACCTTATTAATCAGCATTTCTCAGGCAGATCTCTCTTGCAGCAGCTCTGAGCCTGGCAACAAATCATGAATGGCCCTAACAGCTCTGATCTCAGAAATCCCCATCCATTTCCTTTGATGCTATCACCACTTCAGCTCAACAACAAACTGATGCTACTCAGCTTCAGCTGCTGCGTTATTTTCTCTACGCCTATAAGATTGTGTAAGTATAGAGGAAAGAAGGAGGGAGGAAGGAAGAATGAGTCTGAGAAGCTGGCTCCAGTGGAATAAACTTCTTTAGAAAGTTGAAGGGGAGATAAAAATGCACACAAGAGATTAAAGCACAGTCATTTTCACATCTTCCCCTTCTTTACTCAAACAAGGTCAGGGGCAGATTGACCACATCAATAGTAATAACCAGACCCAACCCCATTTCCCGCTTCCTGTATGTAGACATCTTCACACCGGTAAACATTTGGGGACCAACTGTGGTCATTACTCTGAAGAAAATAACTGGGGTCTTTGGACCACTACACATTTCTTGTAAGTTGCTTTAGAAGTAAGGCCCAAAGAAGGATTTTTTCCATGTTCAAGTTGCTGTTCCTCTTAGTTTTCCCACTCAGTTTTACCTGCATTTTTGAAAACCTGACCAGAAGCTGATACAAAGGAAAGAAAAACGGTCACCATGCAGTGAAATTTGCAATCATTAAAATTAAAACCTGGTGCTCACACTGCATACTGTCCTGACCTTGCAGAAGCACACTTATAGGCTTCAAATATGAGCTAAAAGAGGCTCTTTCTATGTCCTAGACTACTTCAGTGTGATGCTGCCTACAAGGATAGAAATTAAATTTCATTTAAATCTACATGGAGTGTTTTTGCCAGGAAGTTTAGGGTGGTGTGTATTGTAGCTGGGAGGCTTTTGAATTAATATATACAGCTTTCAGGGATGGCCTTTAATTACAGAGCACCTTGGTCATTACCTTGTAAGGCTTCCAAATTCCTTCCCTTTTATTTCTGACTCTTCAGTACAATAGCAAGAGAAGCACTATTAGGTATGCTCTCAGTTATAGCTTGGTGCAAGATTGAATCTCTCTTTATTTCAGTGTTCTTCCACCTGTTTTAAAAAATCCCCCTTTAAAAAAATTCAAATTAAAATATTTTATTACTTTTTGTTCTCACTTGGGCTTTATTAAAAGCCAATATTGTGCAGATTACTTAGGATCAAGTCAAAACAATCCTCGTCAACCACTTATGGGAAAAGGTTCCTCTCTTGAAGCAGAAAGAAGCCAGAATTAATGCCTCAGAGACCTTCAGTGGGGGAAAGAGATCAGCCTGAATGGAACAGGAGTACTTGTGGCACCTTAGAGACTAACACATTTATTAGAGCATAAGCTTTCGTGGGCTACAGTCACAGTTATGCAGCCGAAGAAGTTGGCTGTAGCCCACGAAAGCTTATGCTCTAATAAATGTGTTAGTCTCTAAGGTGCCACAAGTACTTCTGTTCTTTTTGCGGATACAGACTAACACGGCTGCTTCTCTGCAGCCTGAATGGGGCTACCTTTGTAGATCTCTTTCCTAGTGGAGGGCAAGAATTAGCTGTGAAAGGCGTTCCCGTTTTGTCTGTCTGGTGTGGGTGCACTGGAAGGGCAAGAAGATGGACTGGAAGAGGCTATCCCTCTGTAGTTTTCCCTTCTGCAGACTAGGGTGAGGGTGTTGGG